ATCCTCCCTTGTCTCAACTCCATCCTTGACAGATCCCAATGTATTCTCTCTTTACACATTCCTCCCCTTCCCCTTTCCCTTCTCCTTCCCGTTCTCCTTCCCTTCTCCCTTCCCGTCCCCTCCCCCCCCCCACCCCCCCCCCCTTCCCTTCCGCTTCCAAGCGGCCATTCACCTCCCTTCCACATCAATTCTCAATCTCGTTTTCCATTTCAATCCTCGATCCTCCACGCCATTTCCTCATCCAAGCAGCAACCTGAGTGGCAACAGTATCTCAGATTACGTTGATCCACTTTCCGCCCTTGTAACCCTCTCCTACCTGTGAGCGCTTGCTTCCTCTCACTACAAAAACCTCTGACCATAGCACCTTGTTGCACCGTACCTTGTTGCACTGCACCTTGTTTTGCCGCACAACATCCTGCCTCACCTCATCCAGTGGGGCATGTTCTGGAACCTCACCTCTCCTTGTCTGTTCAGCAAGCGGATGCCAGATAGCTGTTGCCATCTCTGCTTGGTTGCGTCTTCCTATCTTCCTTTCTCAGCTCTGTTGTATGCTATTATTCAATCACTCACTGCCACACCTCATAGCCTTCTCAATCCTGCTACCTGAAATATTGCTGCTGCCCATGATTCGCTTGCTCCTTCCTTCCCAAACGCCCTCTCCACTTGCCTAGTTGTCACACCTTCTAATGTTCATCCCATCCCCTCCCATCCCATCTCATCCCATCCCCTCCCCTCCCATCCCATCCCATTCAATCCCATCCCATCCCATCCCATCCCATCCCATCCCATCCCATCCCATCCCATCCCATCCCATCCCATCCCATGTCATCCCATCCCATCCCATCCCATCCCATCCCATCCCATCCCATCCCATCCCATCCCATCCCATCCCATCCCATCCCATCCCATCCCATCCCATCCCATCCCATCCCATCCCATCCCATCCCATCCCATGTCATCCCATCCCATCCCATCCCATCCCATCCCATCCCATCCCATCCCATCCCATCCCATCCCATCCCATCCCATCCCATCCCATCCCATCCCATCCCATCCCATCCCATCCCATCCCATCCCATGTCATCCCATCCCATCCCATCCCATCCCATCCCATCCCATCCCATCCCATCCCATCCCATCCCATCCCATCCCATCCCATCCCATCCCATCCCATCCCATCTTATCCCATCTTATCCCATCTTATCCCATCCCATCCTACCGCTGTAAACCCATTCTCCCTGCCTCTCCCCCGGTTATCCTCCCTGTCTGGTGGCAGCGGCATGTCAAATTGTGGTTTTGTCTTCCCCCCTCCCAACTCTCTCACCAACCTTGTGGACCTTCAGTCATTGTAAGTCCCTCCCTGCTCCTGCTGCCGTGTGCTGTTGTGCTGAGCTGGGCTGTGCCGTGCCGTGCTGTGCTGTGCTGTGCTGTGCTGTGCTGTGCTGTGCTTTGCTGTGCTGTGCTGTGCTGTGCTGTGCTGTGCTGTGCTGTGCTGTGCTGTGCTGTGCTGTGCTGTGCTGTGCTGTGCTGTACCGTGCTTTGCTTTGCTGTGCTGTGCTGTGCTGTGCTTTGCTGTGCTGTGCTGTGCTGTGCTGTGCTCTCATGGTTGTGCTCAGATGATTCCCTCTTGCAGTGTTTTTGTCCACTACATGCATTCTGGGCGCTTTACGGCTTGCACTGCCATGCCAGGAAATGATGCACCCTTTGCTCCAACTAACATTTCTGCTGCTTTTCCCAGCCAACCTAATGAAAATACAGCTCCAAGTTTCATTCTAGCAAGTCTCGATGTCACATGATTGCATCATATTACCATCTGAACAAAATCTCAAGAGTAGTACAACTATCTCCCTCTGTAACCAGACCCCATCTCTCCTGCCCGCCTCATGCATGCTTATCAGTTATATTTGAGTATACTTATACCTGCATGCTCTAGTTTTTCTTGTAAAGTGGCTAAACACCCTAATAATCGGAATGAAAAGAAAAAAAATCCATCCTAGAAATTGGCCCCCAGTCTTGCTGGACCAAGGTGTGTCCATCCAACTATTGTGATCCATGTGAAGGGGCAGCCAATTGTAGCGAGATGGCCACTCCACCCTCCCCACATGGGCTGGTCGGTCCTCACCACAAGTTTGCCATTGGGTCTCTTTGTCTAGGTTGGTGGCTCTGATTGACGTTCTGCTTCAGACTCCCCTTTTAAAACGCAGTGCTCTCTTAACCTAAAGACACGTTTTTTTGTTTGGACCCATGCAAGGCTATCATGTCCCCCGAGACCTGTCGTTTCATGCCCTCTCTAACAGAAATGTGCTCTTTGTCTTGTGCTTTCTCTACAAGCTTCTCTGAGATCCCTTTGTGCTTTGAGTGAGCCACCTCAGAATGAATGTAGTGCACATCAGATCCAGTGTTCTATGCTCTGTTCCACAAAATGAATCACGTGTTCTGCTCCAATGAATCACCCTCATGAACACAACAAAATTCATCTTCCCTGTCCTGAGTGCACGTATACGTTGTACCCTCGTGTTTTCCTGCTTGCCATCCTGTCTCTCTTTCCCCAGCTCCGATGCCTCTGTCTCTCCCTCTCCGCGTCTCACTCACTCATCTGCCCCCACCCCACCTCTCACGCCTCTGTCTCTACCCTACTCTACCGCTCGCCCCGCTGCCTCTATCTATCTCTTGCCCCTGTGTCCTCATCACAGCGAATTCAGCCACAACCAAGTGATTTCTGCCTCCATCCCGCAGTTCCTCTTCGACTTCTCAGGGCTTGCCTCTCTGTAAGTTGCTACTCCTCTCTCCCACTCTCCCTCTCTCCCTCTCTTCCCTGTATTCCCCTCGTGACTCCACAAGACTCAGAAACCTGGACCTGTTCCCACTGCTATCCCTTTCAGATATGCCCCTGTTCCTGTTCCTGTTTCGCATGTGTGTGTGTGTGTGTGTGTGTGTGTGTGTGTGTGTGTGTGTGTGTGTGTGTGTGTGCACGTGCATGTGTGTGTGCGTGCGCTTATGTGTCACTGTGTGCAGTGATCTGGCCAAAAGTGGTTTTGAAGGCTCCATTCCTGTACCAACAGCCCGCAACACCAGATTCACACACCTGTATGTGCGCCCTCCAACTAAACTATACCCTGCTGTATTAGGCCTGTGAGGCGCCTCAAAAGTCAAAAGGTCTTGTGAGGCGCCTCAGAAGTCAACATCTGCACGTGCCTTGTGCACCCTCAAACATTTCCTTGTTGAATCAGCCTTCACAGCCTTCTAGTCTAAGTGCTAGCAAAGAGCCTTGGAGGAGACAGTAAGAAAGATTTCATCATGAACCCGAAAAATGTGGAGTTACAACATTTAGAGCTGGCTGGGTTGAAATACCTGGGTGAACGAACATAGGTCAAGTTCAGCTGTTTTCAACCGAACAACAGCGAAATGAATGTAGAGTGAACCTGGAATCGAACAGAGGAGCTCGCTCTACAGGGCCATTTCTCATAACAGAGCGACCTCTGCAGGGTCATTAATCATAGCAGAGCGCGCTCTAGCTCACTTCAACGTTCTGCAATTCCTTTTGTAGAACAACTTGGACCGTTCAAAATGTTCTCCCTCATTTGCTTGCGCGTTCGTTCTCCCATTCCGTTTCACTCCATCTCACACCCCCCCCCCCCCCGCCTCCCTCCCTCCCTCCCTTCGTTCTAACTCCCTTCCCCCTGTTCACCCTTGTTCACAGTGACCTCTCTGGCAATGCTCTCTCAGGGTCTCTCCCCGAGGGGCTTTCCAAAGTTGCTGGTGCAGTCACTATGTAAGACCTTGCGGGCTTCATTCAGAAGAGTTATATGAGGTCATGGCTATATGTATGTAAACTGCTGCTACACCCCTTCCGACCCTCCTTTTCCCTGTCCTTCGCTCGTCCACAACCTCTCCCACCCACCCTGCAATTATGTTTCCTACCTCATCTTTTTGTTTTTTGGGCAACACGCCCTTCCTTCCCTGTTGCTCACCCGTCCACAATGCTTCGATACGGAGACCCTTGGCTTCGTCTCTCTCCCTCTCTCCCTTCAGCCCTCCTCCCTCCTCCCTCTCTCCCTCCCTCCCCCACGCCTCCCTCCCTTCTTTCCCTGCAGTGATATCTCAGGCAATAATATTGATGGCTCCATTCCTGCTTCCTTCACTAGACTAAAAAACCTTCAAAATCTGTAAGCCATGGGGTTCCATACACATGCCATGCTAATGGTGTGCCATGCTGTGCAATCCATGTCATGCGATTGAATCACATCACCTGTCAAGTCAAGACCCAGGTCGTCGGCTCTTCAAATCTATCTGACCGGCTTAGTCGGCTCGGAAATGGTGCCACATTCAATTCGCATCCATGCACATTCACCACCACCCATCACCACCACAACCTATATTTTGCGTCAAAACGCTTGACAGGCAGCCCGAAATCGGAAAATTTCTCCGTGGGGAAAAACTCGCATTCGCGATTTTGACGTGAAAATCGTGAATGTGCAGTCCAACTCGACATTGAGCAACAAACAAACACAAACCCGCAACACAGAACGTTCCTTCCCCCCCCCCCCCCCCCCCCCCCCCCCCTCCCCTCACCACCACATCGAACCGCTTTGTAGCTACGGAACCCAACCAGCACAAAATTCAACTCGAAATTCAGCAACACACAAACCAGCAACACACCACCACCACATTGAACCGCTTCGTAGCTAGAAATCCCAACCAAAACAGATCTAGAGAAACCCGTCACACGTCATTCTCAGCTCTGTTTTCTCAGCTATACTAGTACCTCTGCTCTCTCTCTTTACTTCAATTAATGGCGTCGTTCACACCATTGTCCCCATCACTTCCACCCATGAAGTGTTTTTTCACCCTGCCCAGGGGATTTTTTTAGCTGCCCGCCAGAGCGTCAAACCAGCGTAAATAAACTTAGGAAGTAGCGTCAAGCGTCTTGACTCTAGCGTTTTGTCGCTAGCGTCATTGACTCTTGACGTGTCAATTCCAACGTTGACCACAACCACCCATCACCACCACCCCCACCCACCACCACCACCACCGCCACCCACCACCACCACCACCACCCCCACCCACCACCCCCACCCCCACCCACCACTACCACCTCCACCCACCACCACCACCTCCACCCACCACCACCACCTCCACCCACCACCACCACCACCACCACCACCACCACCACCACCACCACCACCACCACCACCACCACCACCACCACCACCACCACCACCACCACCACCACCACCACCACCACCACCACCACCACCACCACCACCACCACCACCACGCCACCACCACCACCACCACCACCTAGGGATGAGCAAGTGGCGAACACGAACGTGTTCGTGTTCGCCCCTACACGAACACCTTCGTTTGCCGAACCGAACAGTGTTCGGTTCGGCGAACACTTTGAGCAAAAAATGGTGTTCGCCGTTCGCCTGTGAAGGCGTGTTCGGGCGAACCTCGAACACTGTTCGTGTTCGTCGCGGGCAAATTGCAGCAGCGGCCCGAACACGAACGTGTTCGGGCGAACATCGAACACTGTTCGGCGAACATTTTAAGCCAAAAGAAAATACCTGTTCGGTTCGCCTCGAACGTGTTCGAGGCGAACCGAACAGGTGTTCGTGTTTTTGCTCAACCCTACCACCACCACCACCACCACCACCACCACCACCACCACCACCACCACCACCACCACCACCACCACCACCACCACCACCACCACCACCACCACCACCACCACCACCACCACCACCACCACCACCACCACCACCACCATGAACATCAGTTACTCACGACCAGATTGACATGCCACATCAACCAAAGTCACGTCTGCCCCAATCCCATGCAGAGTGCTCGCGTCCAACCAGCTCTTTGGCGACATGTCTCCTATTCTCACCCAACTCACAACCCTCAGGAAACTGTGAGTGCGAGCAAGCAAGCAAGCACGCTGCACACATGCACTTGTGAGGTTCCTGTTATTCAATTGCTGCAAGACTAGCAAGAATGCCTTCCTTCCATCCAATCTACTGTGATACTGTGTACAAAAAGAGTGCAGGTCGTTCCTTCCGTCCCCACCTTCATCCCTCCCATCCTCCACAATGTATAGCTTCCTTGTCCCCTGTCTCATCTCACTAGTGTTGCGGCCTGTTCTGTCCTGTTTGCTTGTTTAAAGTCTAAAAAATGACCCGCCGCCTTATTGAATCGCTCTCCCTGTGCCTGTAAATCTCTGCCTGCTCCTTTTCCTTCACCCCCCTTCTCCTTGGCACGTGCAGGGATCTGAGCTCCAACCAGATATCAGGGCCACTGCCCACCGCCCTTACTGTTCTCACTACCCTCTCACACCTGTTAGTCTCTTGCTCCCTCTCTCCTCCACCTCTCTATTTCTCCCTCACCTAACAACCTCTCCCCAACCTTCGCTCTCTCCATCTCCTCACTCTTCTGTCCACCTCTCACTCTCTCTTTCCACAACACAGTCTCTCTGGCACCTTACAATCCTTAAGCCCTCTGGTACACACTTCATGTTCCCTGCCAGATTTTTCTTAACGAAATTTGCACCCTCTGCCCTCACCTCCCTCCTTTAGCAGTCAACATACATGCAGTTTTCTTTGCCTCTCCCTCTTCGTCAGTCATTGTCCGCTGCTTGTCCCCTGCCCCTAACCTAAACCCAGACACACATATTCTCAGAACGAGCCTTTTTCTTTCCCTCTTCTCTCTCTGCTCCCTCTGCTTCCTCTCCGCTCTCTCCGCACTCTCCCGTCCCCCTCTCCTTCCCCTTCCCCCCCTCTCCCTGCCCCTATTCTCTCCCCCCGTCCCCATCCGCAGCAACCTGAGCAGCAACATCTTCTCGGGATCACTGCCTGTGGTCTACAGCCGCCTCTCCCAACTCACCACCCTGTTAGTATGCTACGAGGGAGCATGTTTGTATGCGAGGTAGCGTGTGTGCCGTCCTGTCAGCACGCGGTAGCATGTGTGTGGCCTCCTATAAGCGTTCGATCGATACGGCAGATTGGTAGTGTCTGTGGCTCCCTCTATCCCATCCCATTGCATTGCATCTCTCTCCACCGCACCCCATCTAGTCTATCACTCTGGATCTCAATCCATCCCACACTTTTTTGAATCTTGCTTACACGCTCCTTGTTCCCAGCCACTATGATCCCTCCTTACCATTCTCACCCCTCACCACTGCACTGCACTCCTCATCTTTCAGGGGCGTGTCGTCCAACCTTCTCTCAGGTCCCATCCCAGAGCCTGTTATTGCCGCACTCATCAATGCACCCCAGCTGTGAGTGCTGGAGGAATGAATGGGTGCAGATGGCTGTTCCACGTGTAATAACAGTAGCAGAAACCTGTCAGATCGTGCATTTCTTACAAGGTGTGAGTCCGCTGTAAGGGGGGCTATTTGCAAGGAAGAACCGCGTGCTTTTCCTCATCGTCAGCGTAGTTGTATTGTGCCTTCAAGGTTCTCTCATGTTTTTTGTCCTTTACTCCTCTCTCTCCTCCCTCTGACCCATGTGATTATGTACCATGCCGTGCCCTGCCAGGGGCCATGCCATGCCATGCCATGCCATGACATGTAATGCCATGTTATCCCATGCCATGCCACCCCACACAAACCATGCCTGCTGCACCACAGGGACATGAGTCGCAACCAGTTCTCAGGATCCATGCCTTCCTCCCTCTCCCTCCTCACCAAACTCACCAACCTGTTAGCCACTACCTATATTTTTTAATAGTAATTTAAATAGCCACACTACCTATGTCTTCCTTGTTTTTTCTCTCATTTCTCTGTGTGTGTGGGGGGAAGAGGGGGGGTGGGAGAGGGAGAGGGTGTGTGTGTGTTTTATTCCTCGCTCTCTCCCACATGTCCCCCATCTCATCTCTCCACCTATTCCTCCTCCCTCCCCTCCATCCTTCCCCTCCTCTCACTCTCCCAGGGATTTGAGCTTCAACCGTCTCTCCAACTCGATTGCTTCTTCCATCAGCACCCTCTCTGCCATTAAGACGCTGTATGCATGCCCTCCAAGCCGCTGCTCTCCCCGTCTTTGCACTTCCCTCACTTGCTCAACCACCGTTTTATTTGAGGTGACTCTAGAGTCTCGCCTGGCTAACCATATCCCCTCCTGTGATCCATGTGCCCTGCACTGCACCATGCTGCCTGCTGCATACCCGATTTATTCTTATCGCTCTTTCTCTCGCCAACTATAATACATTTCCATCTTTGACCTGTCTCTGTGTCACCATCTTTCTGCATCTGCCGCTCTGTCTCTCTGTCTCCCTACCGCTCGCTCCAGATCTCTCTCTAACAACCTCCTCAGTGGTTCCGTCCCTGCTGAAGTGCTTGTAAAAATTACCAGCCTGCAAAAGCTGTATGACTCATATCCCTCTGATCTCCATTGCTTGAGTTGCATCGGTCATTGTGTCCAATCCATCGCCTGCAAGAGTAATCACACATTCTGTGAACAATGAATGAACGCTGTTACATCCAACTGAATGTGTAACAACCAACCAACCAACCATGCGCACAATCACTCACAAGGAACGAATCAAGCAAGGCGCGGATGCTGTATGCATGTAACACTCTTCTTTTGCATTGTGTACCTTAGGGATGAGCAAAGGGCGAACTCGAACACGTTTGGGTTCGAGTTCGCTCGAACATCAACATTTCCCGAACCGAACACAGTTCGGTTCGGCGAACAACTTAGGGTTCATGAGGTGTTCGCCGTTCGCCCTTGGGGGCGAACATTTGGTATGTGTGGGCGAACTCGAACATGTTCGACCCGAACATGTTCGACCCGAACATGTTCGAGTTCGCCCGTGGGCACTTTCATTATAGTCACATCTGTCAAACACGGAATCTGGAGGGTTGGGAAGATAGATAGGGGGGTGGAGGGTGTATATGTATTCATGCAACGCACACTAGCATACGACACCATCATGTGGTGCCTATATAAAAGTCACTGCCAAATTACATCCTACGCCTGCACACCACTGCTACTACCAACAACAGCATGCTCCGCGTCAGATGTGTCGCCAGCACCCACCCCCACCTGCTCCTCCTTCCCCTCCTCCTCCTCCCACTCGTCGTCCTCCTCCTCCCCCTCGCCTTCAATGGCGAACTCTGGTGGTGCCTCGCCTTTTGCACGGCGGCCCTCGCCTATCCTCTGTCCAGGGTGTGAGGTGTACCATGATCTGAGAATCATGGAAGCTCGCGTCCTCTGAGAGGCTAGGCGGTGCCGCTTCCAGGATATTAGGTTGCGGCCGAGGGAGAACACGCGCTCGCTCGACGCGGACGTGGCAGGGATGGCAAGATAATCCCGGGCCATGCGCCTCAGCGTCTGCATGTTGGTGGCGCTGCGCCAATACTCCAACGCTGACACGTCGCACCGCACCCTCTCTGATAAGTACCTGCCAACCTCGTCATCCCGCACCATCCCACCCCTCCCCGCCTCCTGGCTCGCCGACAGACGCGCCGCAAGGCGTCGGCGACTAGGGAGAAACTCGGCGTCTTCGTCGTCATCCGCCGCGTCTCCCTCCTCCTCCGTCACTGGGGCAAGTGGGGTCGGCCGAGGGGCAATCGCTGCAGCCCGGGCCTGGTACACGGCCACGCGTTCGCGAACCAGCTGGATCACCTCGCTTGACGAGGGACGAGGCCTCGCCCTCCGGTCGGTATCGGGATGCAGCGTCTCCCAGTGCGCGTCGTCGAACCACGCCGCCTTCATGGAAGGGTCCAGGAAGGTGGCGATCCACAACTCGTTGCTTGACATCAGTTCATACTTCTTCAAGAGACCCAGCGCCGCCTCAATCATCGGCTTCAGCGTAGCCGATGGCCCCTTGGCAAGACCATCGCCACTGTAGGGTACGCCGCTCCCTCCGCGGCCTTGGAGACTTTGGCGAATGGGCTGAGGAAGGTCTTGACAGAATGCAGATTCTCCCAGTCTGCGTCCGTCAGGCGCAAGGTGTCCATCTTCGCCTTGTCAGCCTTCGACACGCCCTGTCGGGTAGAACGTATGGGTGGGCGGGTGTTAGGATGGAAAGTGGGGTGGTTGAGGTTGTTCGAGGTCCGAAAAGTTTAGTCAAGCATGGCCAACAGTGGTGCAAGTCCCAGAAGAAAACACCCCGACCGACATACCAACACATAAAACAGCATACACATCACCTGGCACACACACACACCTGTGTCTGGGCAAAGAAGACAGAGATGGGTTCCTGCAGAACCCCGGCTCGCTCGACCATGTCGTAGGTCGACCCCTAGCGTGTGGGACTGTCCTGCACCAGCTTCAATGCCGGCTTCAGTTTGGCGGGGTTGCCCTGCGCGTTCAGAGTCCGCTGAAGGCCCAAGAACTTCCCCGAGCGCTGCGGCGAGAAGCCTATCCACGAGGCCATCTCTCTCAGAATCTTCAGCAACTTGCGGATGGCGGTCACAGCGAGTGCTGCCTTCACTGCAAGGTTGATCACGTGTGCCAGGCATCTGCGCACATCACAAAACATTCATGTTGGAGAGAAAGGGAAGTGTGAGTACACATTGGCATAGATCCGAGAAACACTACCCCTCTCAAGCCGCATAGGCCCACCCGCCTGTACTACAACCACAACATGTTCACATCACATGAACGACGCACCCAGACTCCCTCATCGCACATCCCACGCACACTCCCTTTCGTACCGGAAGTGCATGCGCGAGTTGAAGAAGCGCTGGCCACCACCCTCCTCCGACATCCACCTAAAAGCGGCAGTGTTGCTGGAGGCGTTGTCTGAGGTGAACCCAAGATAACGCGTCTCCAACCCCCACTGCACCACCGTCTCCTCAACCACCCTCGCCATCTGCTTGCCCGTGTGACGCCCGTGAATCTCGCGGAATTCAAACACCATCATGCGCAGCTGGTAATTCTCATCGATCCAGTGACCCGTTACCACTAGCCACGCCCTGTTGTTGGGCGACGTCCACATGTCGATGGTGAATGACACCCTGCACCGCAGCTCCCCCTCCTTCGCCAGCATCTCCGCGATGGCTGACTGAAGAGCGGCTCCCGCATAGACCACTGTGTCGCGGGAAACCGTCCAGCGCGAGGGGATGAAGTTCTTCTGCGCGCAGTTGCGGTTTAGCAGGATGAGTAGCTCACGAAACTGGAGAGGGGTAGAGACAAGGGGGGAGAGGGGAGTAAACGTCAAGGGGGATGGGATGAAAATAAAATAGCACTGCACTGAGCCACACGCAAACAGTCAAAACACAAAGAGACAGACTTGTCCACTAACCACATATTGGCCCAACCCAACCATGCATGGGATGGGATGGGGCACTTACAGCCTCGGCCTCGACGATGCGGAAGGGGAGGTCGCAGGTGACCACCAGCTTCGTGATCGCCTGCCGTAGCTGCACCGAGGTCAGTTTGGTTGTCATCCACCGCTCCATCCCGCCTGACCCATCACCTCCACCAGTCGCCATCCCTTTCCCCTTGGCGAGCTGCGGCCAAGTCTTGGCATGTGGCCATTGATTAACGTAGCCATCCGGCACTCCCTTGTAGCCCCCACGGGGAAACGTCTCCCCTGGCAAGTGAACGGACGGGGTGTGAAAAAGGTGATGCCACACATGCATGTGCGCAGTGTGGAAGCTCGCAAAGTGCCGCTCGCCGGGGGTTGTTGTGGATTGCTTCCACGAAATCCTGCCTGTGCAAATCTTGCACTGACGCTTATCGTCTGCCCCTAACGGTCCGAACATCATAACTTGCCACCCCGGCTTCCTATTACCCTTGCCAGTCCCCTTACTACTCTCGGACCCTCCGTCCTCGTCTAGGAACTCGGGAGCGATCACACCCTCGCCCAAGGGCTCCCCAGTGAACGTGCAGGGATACGCCCGCTCCCTCAACTTGTTGGCCTTCTTCCTCTGCCTCGGCTCCCTAATGGTCACGGCCTTTCTCCCCCCCACCTTAACCCCCACGCTCCCTCCCCCTTCACGCACATGCTGTGATCCCGCCTCTGTCGCCGCCCGTCCACCACCCTCTCCCACCTCCTCCTCCCGCCCCTCTGGCTCCAACCCATCCATCTCATGGTCTTCATCATCATCATCTCGCCCCTCCCCACCGCCATGCGTCTCTGGATCCCACGCCGCCTCGCTGTCATCCCCGCTCCCCTCAGTGTCCTCCTCCCTCTCGCCCTCACCATCCTCCTCCTCATCCTCCTCCTCACTGCCGCTTTCCGGATGCGTCGGCGTCTGCCCCGAAGGAGGGGGCCGAGGGCCGTCGTAACGGAAAGAGCGACGAGAGGTCGGCGCCGGTACGGTAAGCAACCCCCCAACGAAGATCGCGCCGGCTCCACCCGGTCCATCCCCTACTCGCCCCTGCATAGGTCGTGGTGGAGATCCCGGTGCGCTGCCTTGAGCCCTGCCTGCACCTCGGCCTATGGATCCACCAGGTCTCGAAGCCATAAATCCGCCCTCAAGTGAGTACCCTAAACCCTAAAAGGCAACGTTATCGTTGGATGGTGCCGCACGTTCCTAATGCCCGATCGGAATCCTACGGCGAAGGATACGCCCTACTTGAGCCCTTTGCGGAGATGCTCGCTGAACCTTAGTAGTAACCCTAAACTCCCTACACTACGGTAAACCCTATGCAAAGATCTATGATCTATCTATCTAATGTCCGTTTCCACTCCAAGTATTAACGTGCACTTGCTTGCACCTAGAACAAGGAGGCTAGGGCGGCTGTGTGAGGGAGCGCTAAGGCCTAAACGAATTCTGAGTTTGAGCTCACGAAATGAGCTCAAACAAAAATTGGCCGCGACCTAAATCTGGTCGCGGCCAATTTTGACGCGAACATTTTTGGTGTTCGCGTCAACCCCAGTCGAACACGAACATGTTCGTGTTCGACTGGGAGAGCAGAAATCGAGAGCCGAACGTCGAACATGTTCGGCCGAACACCGAACATGTTCGGCCCGAACAATTTAGCCAAAAAAAAAAAAGCCTGTTCGGTTCGCCTCGAACATGTTCGAGGCGAACCGAACAGGCGTTCGGGATTTTGCTCATCCCTAGTGTACCTTGTACAGATGTAAGCATGGGCATTTGACCCGACCCGGCCCGACCCGTCCCGTTGAGGGCGACCCGTTAGCTTAACGGGTCGGGTCGGGTCGGGTTAGCGGGTCGGGTTTGACTCTGTTTTGATGACCCGACCCGCCCCGTGGGAACGGGTCTTTGTGACCCGTTACCGGGTCGGTTACACCACGGGTCGGGTCGGGCCGGATCAAAATATGTTACATAGCAGCAGGGTATGGGGGTTAGGTCTGAATTGCTACATTGTAAACTACATGTTACAACTTTATTCTTAAGTTTATACGTACCTTACGTTAGCCCAAGGTGCATGAATTCAAGGGCATC